GAACACCGCTCGTCACCATTCTCCACTTGGAAGACACAAGGCTAGACCACTTCAGGAACAGATGTATCTGCACAACATTTAGTCTGCAGGTACTCATTCCAGGAAAAAAAACAAAAAACAACCCCAAACACAAAACAACCCCACAATAGAAGACTTGTAGAAAAAGCCTGCAGCAGCGTTATCTGTTGCCCCCAGCCCCTGCCACCCAGTTAGGTTTTTTGCTGGAAAGAGCACTTAGATCTGAATTACAAGTCATGCAACAAAGTTTGGGAGTGCTGTGCTCCACATGCCATTGACAAGCCACACAATTTCCAGTTTGGGGCTGCTAAAACTTCACCTGCCTCCAGTAGCTGCAAAAGCATGAAGACAGGGACTGTCACAGCATCAGGCAAAGTATTTTGCCCAGAACCTTACAGCAGAGGACTTTAAATTTATTACCCACAGGACAAAGTACCCTTCCTTTTTCTTTCTACAGCCGCCTTTTGGTTCCACTGCAAGAAGAATTAGGTGTCTACAAACACCCCAGCTTAGCCCTGCAAAAACCAGGGCTACCTAGCCTCCCTGAAATGGGAGCATTGTTCATCATTTGCATTGTAACAAGTATAAAAATGTCATCTCCGGGACAAGGCGAAACCTTCATATTCTCCTAAGATTGCTCTTCACACATCAAGGCACAAAGCTATCTCAAAAAAAAAAAGCCCCCAAAGAAGTCTTTTTGTATCTTCTTTCTTCCTTTTATGGAACTATCTCAGAAAGCCTCCAACACACCACTTCATCCTTCAATACTCTGTACCCTAACCATAAGGCTATCCTCAAATATGCTGGTTATAGCATTAGTAAGAAAATTTCCCATTATATACAATTGAAAAATATGATCTATTGCACTTGTAAATTCTGTAATAATCCAACTCAGATCTACAGAAATAAAAGCACAGCAACCAAACTGATCCATCTGTAGTAGCTTGTTTTGGATAAATATGAAACACAGGCTTTGAAAAAACTGAACTTTCAAATCTAGTGAGAAACAGAATATCCTTTCATTCAACAAGTCACAACATTTGTTAACATTTCAAAAACTGCCACCCTTAGTGAAAATGACCTTTTATATTGTAAAGCTTTAAATATTCAAAACTGTCTAGTGAATCTGACAGTGCTCCATGATAAAGCAGGTGAAAAGGGTCAGCAAAAAAAATTCACCTTCAAAAACAGCGCTACAGTTCAAAGTTTCTATTACAGCCTTATATGTTCCTTAACAGTAAAGCTACTAAGACAAGGTAAGTCACAGACCAAGACAGACTATCTGAAGAACTACATCTTAAACACAGACTGTGGTGAAAAACAAAGAAAAGCTAAAAAAAAATTAAAGCTCTTCCAGGTAAACTGAGGACACCAAGAAGTGCATATCAAGTAAGTTGAAAACTAAAGAAATTACGCATTTCCCCCCGCCTTCTGCAGTTATTAGCTGTCAAAATTCAAAAGCATATTACTACAAGATTTTGACTTGCACAGAGAGTTAATACAAGTGATTCTTTAAGGATACTTTGGAAGATTTAGAGCCATTTTTTAAGCGTTCCATTCCAAGGCATGTGGGGATTTTAGCAAGGGTCAGTTACAAGACATGATGAAGAGGCAATGACTGAAGCAGGACAGAAACGCTGTGGATTCATTCCCTTGTTAAAGCATGATACGGCAAATCAATAAAAAGCTGTTGCAAATACGACTGTTCGGACTATTAATTTCACTAAAACCTGTAACCAGTACATTCATGACCAAACATGGGGATTTCTGGGCGACTCATGGCTGGATGTAGACAGCTGTTACACACAGGGAACTAGGAAGGCTGAATAGTGCCAAGTATTATGAAAAGTTTTAATATTTTTAGGGGAAATGTAGCTGAATTTCTCATATAGCGCATTAAAGTAAGCACTGTTCATCTGAAAAAGGAGCTGAGTATTCCAGAACTTACTGATTACTTTACAAGCTAAATATCCCACCAAGCTGAACTTAGACCTACAAAGATTAAAAAAAAGAGTCCCCAAAACAACCCTTTTTACAGTGCAGTAGTTTTATAATGGGTTTGGCAGAATGAAGAATGATGTTGTGAACACTACTGAAAAGAGTGTAAAGCAGCAACAAGTTAACTCAGCAACACTATCCACCACTTATCTAGTCCTTTCAACAGACATATCCCGAGTTAATTCAAAGCTTGGTAGTACAGCACTTTCAGATTTGTGATGAGAATGAGAAATGCTGAAGAGTGGACTTTTAAAAGAAAGCTGCCCCCTGCAACTGGACAGGACAGTTAAAATAAGAGACTGTTGTACTTATCTATGAAATCAGAGCAGCTAACCTGATTTAACCAAAACTATTAATTTCATATAGATTAAAAGAATCAAATACGTTGTGAAATTTAAGGACAGTACAGAGCCCTTTCATTTTTTTCCTGCAAAAATTTATTTCACTGAAAAGTCTATCTGCAACATTCCTCTTTTGTTAGCACTTTAAAGGCAAAAAGGTTCAAAAAGCATACTCAGAGTAACACTGATCTGACTTCAGATAGGCCTGTGTGATCTCACGCATAATAGTTAGCCTATCCTATACAAGTCCCCAACATCTGGATAACAGGAAAAAACACTCTCTATCTCACAGCAAAATGCTGAGATGAGGTTTTAAAAGTAGGCTGGTATTCAAACACTGCAGCTATAAATACAAATACAAACAGCTAGAGAAACATAAAACTGAAGCCAAAATTGTTTTCAAGGGGATGAGTTTTCCAAAGGCATCTCCAGCACACCAATTCCTCAGAAATATTTCATCTGTACTTTCCCTTCCCCCCCACTCTACCCATTATTCAAGAAAGTTCACCTCTCTGGACGATGCTTACCTTCAAATTCCCTTCCTGAATGTGAAGTGTGTATCATACAACAAATGTTAGCCATTTTGGTTATTCAAGCATATAATATTTAAAATCAGTTGAAATACAGGCCAAAAAGGATCTCAATTACCTTAGCATGCTTTAATTCCAGTTCTGCTAGTTCCACCAGATTTTTTCTGAATGCTGCAACTCTTCTTGTCTTAAAGTCTATCAGTTCTATGGAAAATAAAAATGGATTCATTAACAGTATTATTGCCAGTGCCCTCAACTGTTAACAGACTTTCCTTCAGGATGAAAGAGTTAAAGAATAAGAGAAGGCAACAGGAGAAACTCAAGTTTAATCTCAGCACATTCTGGGCTCAACTGCTAGATGAAAGCAAATCAGTTCCACATCTCTAACTAACCTTTTGTGGACACAAAGCTATTTTGAAAATAGACTGCAATGTGGATGCTTTTAAACATTTAATTCTCTTATTCCATGTGCACTGTTCTTTAAAGGCTGACATATAAAAGTATCTAGGGAAGACACTAAGCTAAAACTAGCATGAAGAACAGAGGAAGCAAGTATGCTTTGTGGATATATCTTTGTGGCTAATAGGAATCATTAATCAGATTTACTTTTAAATGATAAAAACAGGAGAGTATGGTCTTTACACCTTGAACAAACCTGCCCGAGATGACTACTAACTCACAACAATCTTAAGCCTAAAGAAAAAAAAAAAAGTAAGTTTCCAGGAAAAAGGCAACATGTGAATAAGGTTCCTTTTCTCTAAAGCTACTGTAATGCTGCAACTTCACTGAAATCTCATTTCATGATGTCTCCTCTTTCTAATGTACCATCATCTCTGCGACAGACTGCTGCCTTCACAGCAGAATGCATAAAACCAAAAGGAGAATTTCAATAGTTTAAAAGATTAGGTTTGCCTTTACTGCTAGCAATTATGACTTTGTATCCTACCCAATTCATATAAAAAAGTGGTTAACAAATAATTTGCACTTAGACTTTGCTTTGCCTAATGGAGCCAAATGAAAATATCATTTCAACTTTCTAAAATAAGTAAATACTGATTAAAAGATAATAGTTCAGCTTAGGAAACAGAACAAAAATCTATTCTCATCAATAATATGCTAAAATTTGTTAATTTTGAAGTTGTAACGTAGAATCAAAGACCACCCAAATACCTTGTTTTGCTGATTCAGATATTTTCTCAAATTTCTGACAGCATATTTGCTGAGTAGTTTCAGCTTGCAGTACATCTTTATTTTTTGCTCTTGCTTTATCCAATGCCTTATTAGCATTTTCATAATCCACTAGTGACCTAGATCTTCTATATAGGAGATCCTATTAAAAAAAAAAACAACAAAACAACAACAAAACCAAACAACAACATAAAGGATAGAGTTTACAAGAATCTGCCTAAGGGTTTTAGTATATGCCAAGTAATAAAAAAATTCAGACTAAAATTAGTCTTTCTTGCTGTATTTCAGTTCTTACTAATTTATTTGTATTCATTTTACTTCATCCTGCAAGTCACAGGAATGTCCATACTGGCTCAGACATGCAATTTAATACTGTTTGGTCTGCATCTTGCCTGACAGAGGCTAGCAACAGATGGCTTAGATGATGCTCCAAAAATCTTAAGAAGGGGCAATCATGGGAAGTTTCACAGCTTGTTAGATTGGAAACAAACTATATTTAGATTATGTATTTGAAATACACACAGGGCCCAAGAAACAGCAGTACCATTTTTCATGCAACAGTTATTGCTGTGATCTTCTAACTACAGACATTCTGTCAAATTCTTCCTCATTCTGTTATGTTACTTCATCATCTTACATCAAACAACACTAAGAATTAAATTTTCTGTAGGTATGGAATATGAAATTTGGCCCATGTGTTTTTCTATCAGTACTTGCATGTCATCTGGAGTATCCATTTTGAATATTAAAAACCAGTAGAATTGCTTGCAGTCTACAAGCAGCAAACACACTGCAAACACATGAATCATTCACCAACAGCTCTTCCACTGTTTTTAATTATCGAGGCCAAATCGTACAGTCTAAGTGGATCACACAGTTCCAAATAGTCAGTCCCACAGTCAGCAACTGCATTGTTACCCCTTACATACAACAGTGATCAAGTTTTACAGCTGAGGGAAAACCTGCAGGCTCGTGGTGGCAGCATTTTAACCTATCTACTGCCTATTTCTCAAGATGACTCTGTTTTGGTTTTTTTAAGGAAGCTCTATTTCACTGAACAAAAAACCATAAATTCACCTTAGCAGCTTGAGATTCCCTTAGGTAATATTTCAGAAGATCAGAAAGTTTAAGATCTTCATCAGCAGATACCCGGGCCTCTATTTTCTGGTAAAACAGTAAGTAAAAGCATCAATTTAAAAACATCCAGACTTCGGGTATTTACTTGTATCATGTAAATACAACATAAAATATACAACAGTACATGACAGATTGTCTTTTTCAAAAACTAAGATCATGCATTTGTGACAGAATAGTTAAAGATGCATCATGAGAAGCAGTATTAGGATTTTGTATTAAAACGTAAACAATAACCTACTGTGCAAGCAGTATCTGACAACTAGCTTTCTATTTTAAACAATGCTTTCTTCCTAGTTTCAAGTATATGTATCATACACAAGGAAAACAGCAGAGAAACAAAAACTTATCTTTTATAGAGTTGCACAAGAAGGTTTATGTTGTTTTTGCGGTCAAAGGAAAACAAATTTTTAAGGCACCTTTGCAGACTAGTTGTGTAACTGCATGTATTAAATGGTCTAAAAGCCCAATAAACTTATTTGCTTGTATTTGAAGCAGACACTTCTGCGATTTTAGAAACAGAGTCTGCAAGTGCATTTTTCAAATCTTAATTTAAAAAAAATTCTAAAGGGCAACATTTTAGGTCAAAGCAAGTAACACCATTAACTTGATTTTCTTTAAAGTATATATTTATGCAGATATAACTGTCTGTGTTTAGGAGATGCACACATTTTTCATTCAAAGGTTTTCCTGATACGTGGCATGCATCTTCTGCTCGACCAAGCCAAACAAATAAGTCAAAAGAGGCAAGATATTTGAAAATCTGGTTAGGAGCATCAGCAATAGTATTTCTGAGTCAAATAACTGCAGAAACAGATCTTGGCTCCAGAAAAAAGCAAGGTGACCACCATTTCTGGATTAAGGATTATGTTTCTTAATTTCTTTTTTCCATAACAAGTTCTGCAATACCCGCTAACAAGTATGGAAGGCCTCTAAGCATTTTAGAGGAACAGCAGCTTTACTAGTGTATTACATAGAATACTTAAATATTTCATACAGAAGCATCCATAAAACATCCACATATTAGTGTCTAGTTGAAACAAGATGTCCTGAGACTTCCAGGATGTACATAAAGAATATATCTAAAAAGGTTTCATAGTACATACCCTTGTTTTGTCAAATAACTCTGATACCTTCAGAAAAAACCTGCACAAAGAAAACAGCTTCTATTATAACATTAATTTTAACAGTCTAATTACTTTCTAGAACTCAAAATATAATCTGTGTCTGGCAATAAAGACTGTAAAGGCATCGCTTAGAACTGTAATTCACAGAACTCGGAGAACATAATAGTTTCAAATTATAGCACTTCAAGCATCTGGGAATTGTACAGCTTAAGAAAAGGTAAGGGACAGAAAGCGTAATGGACGGATGGTTTTTACTGAAGAGTAATTGCACAGCTCCTCAGGGATTCTTTATGCTTCTGTGAATTAAATCCCAAACACCACTACCCTGGTTAATGGTCCTGCGCTATTATCAAGCATCCTTCACTCAAATTTGAACATACTTTTCTTCACAGAGTAAACATGAGGCAAGCCCTACTTGCAATCTGGGGAGGCTGAGCAACCAGGTGGCACATCTTCAATCACAGGAGACAACACAAGGGTTCAGTATAACAGCAGACAGAATTATAGTCATACTATTTTGGCAGAAGACAGGTGCGATTCCTGACAGACCAGACTAGACTGCATCAAATCTCAACACTATAATCAAAGTAATCAATATGTAAGCTATCACCACATTTGGAAGTATGTCACTTTAATTCAGGTAACTTAACAAAAATAAGTTAATTTTCATACTCATCTCCTACCTGTCATCACACTAACTCTAATAAGTGTACATGTTCACAAGCATCAGCATCTTTAAGCTAGTTAGCTTTTACTTTCAGATACACTAAACTTCATATTGAAGCAAATCACTGAAAGATTAAAGGATAAACAACTGTACATAGAGACCTTCTTCTATTTTCAAAATTCTAGGGATCTCTGTAGATCTATTTTCCTAAAGGCAGTAAAATTGCCAGAATGGCAAAACTATTTTTCAAGATGTTGGTACAGGAAACACCCACAAAAATCAGTATACTCAGAGACCTGTTCTTGCTACACATGTCAAAGAACTTAAAACACTTAAAAAAAAAATTAAAAAAAAAAACTGGTGAAAGAGTTAGGATTTTTTTCTTATTCTATGAAGACTTTTCCATCTCATCCGTGTAATTTTTGGCAAACTGCAGAAAACTGTATTTTTTTTCCAGACAAATATTAAAGCAAAAATATTAAAGCGGCCTGTTAGAGAAATGAAATACTACAGAAGAAAACCTGTTAATGTGATGTAACTATAATAAACTCTGTTTTTCTTACAACAAGAGAGCTACCAATCTCAGCAGGTCACTTAAGTCTGCTACTTATCAAATTGCCCCATAAGTTATTAACAATATCTTACTTGCATATATCTGTAGAGTCCTGCGTTCCTAATGCATATAATGAAGAACCAATTCTATTATAGTCATCCGCCACATCTAGAAAAACAAACAAGCACTTGTTTCACTATTTCATTCCTCCTCTTTCTGAAAATTTTGAATTTCCTCTCTTTCTTGCAGAGTAGGTGTTTTTTCTACAAGGAACATGCTTTAACACAAAAGCAGGAATAAAATTTCAATCATGTCACTTATTATGAAGGGTAACTTCACACAATAAACATGGTGCTCTCACAGAATCATGAAGTCTGTAATTTATCTAGGAATATTTAATACAATTAGCACCTGCTGGGTAAATTTATTGTGCAACTTTGTTAGGTTTTATTTTGGTGGAAGATGTACAAACTCAGTTGCTAAAGCCTGAATTTAAATCTGAATCTAAAGCTTTTTGAAAAAAAAAAAATAATAATCACAGTCTAACAATAACAAGTAAGTCTGTATTACATTTACTGTTCTCAAGCACACAAACGCCAAACCACCAAAATACAGCGCTGCATGCACACCTTTTCTAGTGCATGCCCAATTTTCAGGAAACTCTTACCTCATCAACAAATGGTCACTGGTTGAAGTAGCATTAGTGTTAAAGCATTTTAAACAATGAAATTAGAAGCAGAGATTGTAAAGAAGGCAGCATAATCTGACTAGTGAAGTATTGCTATATAGTAATCATAAAAATAAAATCTTTGCACAGATGACTTTTAAAGAGCTTTTAGTATAAACTCAATGGATGACAAAAATGCTAACAGATCCAAGCAATAAACAGGAAAATACATTTGCTTGTTATTTTTGAAGCTTATATGTCTTTAAGCAGATTTTTTTTTTAAATAACACAACCTTGTTTTATCAGATTGAGTGGGTCAACTTCCACCAAATTCATTACTCTGTACACCCAAAGGAATCAATGCAGGAGTGTATCAGGAAGCCATTAACCTCCCCTTCTATTCCTCCCATTTAAACAAAAAAATAGATTTTCTGCTGGAAATAGGAAGTCAGTATCTTCGCAAGCCCTGCAGCTCTCTGTCGATCATAAGTTATCCATAAATGACAAGTTGCCCATTTCCAAGACAGGCTTCCCAGGTCATTGCTCTACTCCTCTAGACAGGATTTCAAAAGGTGCCAGTTGTCCCAATTTACAGTTTGATTAAAATTTGTCAAGAAACATCCTAGGTGATTTGAGTCTGAAAACCAGTGAAGCTTTGTCACAAATTTGATCAATCCTTTCCCATCAGATCCTCTACAACCTCATTTCTAACGATTTTCCTGGTTCTACAACCAATGTGAAAGGCCCTCTCACTACCTAAAATTTGATACCTAACTACCATGAATGAGGTTCAGTTTTCGTTTTAAGAAAGCAAACAAAACACCAGAAACCACTTCAGGTGAGAATTGAATGAAGACATAGGGTCCCTTTGCGCTTCATTAAGCCATAACTGACTCTTCCCAACTCCTAGCATAGATACTAAAGCTACAAAAGACTCAGTCTTCATGCAACAGCAAGGGAAGCATCTGAAGCGTTCAGTAAATTCTTGGTTCAATGTCTCATTCAATATCCGCTCTAGAGTCCTCACCAATGGATATTCACAAAAAGTTTGCAGCCTGGTTTTGCATAAGCTATATTACTGTAACCATATTACTGCAAAGACAGAACCTGTGAATCAGACACAAACGTCAAGAAAGTAGATAGAGCCTAGTAGTTCAATTTTGATTTATCTAGGCACAAAAACTTAAAATCAAGGGCAATAAAGGTTTTTTCTGAGCTTCTCAAAACACAGTAATCCTAAACCCACACAGTAGTCCTAAACCAAAGATTTTTCCATATTCTCAAATAAATGCAGTGCACTCAAGTAGACTATCTAGAGCTTCCAGAAATCACATTAGCTAGAAATCAGCTCAGGAAAAAAATAACTAAGTGGCAAATCTCATCTCAGTAAGATAAGGGGTCCTGCAAACCAAGCTACTGAATGTACATGTTCCAGTCTCCATTCTAAAAGGCTGAAAAACGGAAACCTACCTTCCTGGTCTAGAACTAATGGCCCAAATAGGAGTTTGCTGCTCAGCAAGGTGAAGCAATGCCTAGCGTGCCAAGAAATTGCACTCTTATAAATGCAAGCCCATCCAATCAAGAGCAATTTCATTAGGAGTAAAATCACATATACTACTATATTACCCACCTTTACACTTTAAAGACTAAGAATAAGACTTCAAAAAATATTATTACATAAAGTGTGTTTCTCTTCACAGGGACAGTATGAAGAATCGAGCTATCTTCAGTGTCGCATCAGGCCGTTCTTACTCCATCTAGTCTATTACAGCAAAGGCTAAACTTTGAAAGTCACATTAAACTTCTTTAGACTATCCAAAGACTATACTTGGAGAAATTAATTAACTTCTTTCATGCAAAAAGAAAACTAAAAATTACTGCTCCTCATGAACTACTTCTGTACACTTTAACTAGTACTATTTTCACCCTGGAAAAATAACTCACTTTTATGTGATCTTGTCATTTTATCAGATTTGGCAGAGGCATCTTTGACTCGGTTGTGATATTCTACAAGGAATGTTCTTTCATGTTCAAAGAAGTCATCCACATCCTACAAAAACCAAGAACAATTTAAAAACCAGGACTTTACTGACTCTGTACAGAGCAACTGCAGAGTAAGTTTGCATATATTGCTGTTGCTGTGACACACAATCCAATTTATTTTTGTCTAAAACACCATTTATGTAAACTGATTTCTTTTTCACTTATTTTATCATGATCTGAAGTTTTATTAAGAATTTATTAAGAATTAAGAATTTGTAACAAGCATCTTAAAGGTCTACATAACTAAACCTGAAGTGAAGGAAATAATTTCACTACTACCTACCACTTTGGTGACAGAAAAATAGAATAAAAGTCAAGTACTTAATAAAGGGACTTCTACCTAGAAAAAGGGGAGGAGGGAAGACAGACACACATTTGCACAAATGCTGCAGTCATAGCAGAGATGATATGAACTCCTAGCTCAGGAACACTGATCTTGCTGACAGATTTATTTCAAGTTGGTAAATGTAGGTGAATTTTAGTATTTTCTGTATTACAATTTGAGATATTTGGTTTCTACTTATTTTTTAAAACCCTCTAAAACAGCACAAATGCTCAATACCATGGAATAGCCTACAATATGGGCTTTGAACAATGTGCTTATGAAAACTCCTGGTTATTTGGATTTCATATTTTTCCTCAAGTCATAATTAATCCATGGTTATTTCCACTTCCCAGCAGTTTTGAAACTCAAGATTTTACAACTAGGAATTTTAGATCCTCTAATTTGCTTGCAAATGGAAAGTCACCACTAAAAAGAAAGGAGATCAAAATAATCTTTTGCCAAATTTATGCTTGTTATAAAACTAATCTTTCAACTTTTGGAAAAGTCAAAATGAAATTGATTTTGTGTGTGTGTGTGTGTCTCAGTTAAAAGTCTTGCATCTGCTGGGAAAAACATCACCTCTGCTGCTGCTCTTAGCTTTAAAACAGTAGAATGATGTCACAAGGGTGGTAAAATTCACACTGTGTTAGTAACTTCTGAGCTGCAGCAGTTGTCAAAGCTAGCTTACCTTTCCACTATATAAAATGACAGGCCAGAACAAAAAACAGATTATCAATTATCTATGGATTAAATAAAATGCTTAATTTCATAAAGTAGGGGAAAGAGAACTGAAAGCA